TATTTTCAGTGTGTAATGGGACGGATACGCGGCAGTAGTAATATTGGCTTTACGAAATGATTTATAAACCAGAATTACTACGAGAAAAAAACTTTACTGATGTATGTCGAAGAAAATTCTTATACCAGTAGTCGTCAACAACTAGGTATTCTAGTATTACCCTAATTTACGACTACTCGCACCGACGGAAAATCCAAGTGTCATCTTTCATAATATAGAAATACACCAAGAAATTCACGACTGCGATTTTAGTTTATTTGAGTAAAGTTAATTAACCTTAACTAATAATAACAATTGTGTAACTAATTATTAAACTATTTGCTAAAGGTAAGTAATAAATATTTTTGTTTTGTCACGATGTTATAGCGTAATTGTATTAAAAATCTAGGCAAAAATTGAAAAAAGAGAAAATTGGAATAAATCGCAAACTATTAAAAATAGATATATTATGACATAGTTAAAAAAAGTTGAATAGTTTTGTAAAATCTATCAGAAAAAAGGATAATACATAGGGTGTACTATTTAAAAAATTTGAGATTTTTTAATTGAAGTAGTTGAAATTCATAAATATATTTTACAAACATCCGTATTTAACTGTACTATTACACTGTAGCATTTAACTAAAATATCTTAACTTAAACATCTTTTTTTTCATCTCTATAAAATTTTCCTACCAAATTTGGGTACTACAACTTCAGAAACAATGGTACCACTGATCATTGCAAACTGCAATTTAACATTGGTTTAAACAAATTTAAATATTACAAAACTATTAATTTTAGGTATAGAACATTAAACATAAAAAAGTTACGGAATTTTGCACAGGATCTAAAAATAAAATAAAAAACCTTGTATACTCTATAATAATTTTAAAATGTGTATCTTAACCTTTTCTATAACTTTCATATTTAACATTTTTTTGTAAACCTCGAAAAAAATGAGATAATGGACTTTACTCTATCGTTGACTCACCCTGTAGAACAATTAGTAGTGTAAGAAATATATCTACCTACTACCAGTTAAAATACTTGTGTTTATTTAAGAGACCAGGTTGATAAAAAAGAGACTAAATTGATAAAAAAAAACTTACTTGCAAATCTGGGGTCCGCTGAGCTTTGGTACCATCCAGAAGAGTAGTGGGAGGCAAGACCCAAATTTTCGGACACTGGGCAGTACTGGCCACCGCCGAACTGGCCCATGACGGGATAACCGCCGTTCATACTGCACGGACCAGTTCCTGTGATACCCGGAGAATTTATACTGCTTCCGCTTGAGGTTGATCTGGAATACAACATAAAAAGAAAAATTATTATATAGAAAAGAATATTTTTATTTACGGTAACTACTCATTACATTAAAGATAATAATTAACTATTGTACCGTATGATCGTAAAAAAACGGCGTAAATATACGTAAAAATTATATTTAGACGATTCGATTATGGAATTAGTGAAATCATTACCGTCTTGATAAATGTTGACATATAAATAAATGGAGATCATCCTTTCATAATTTTAAGAATGTCCAGTAACGAATTTGAAAACTTGTTATAATTGTTTTAATTGATTAGATGCACACACGGACTACAAATAAAAACCCTAGTAAATAGTTAAGTGCCGTTTCCACCAAACAAACACTCACTTTTTATCTTCTTTTTATAGAAAAAAAAACAGGGAAAACACAGAACTCCTTTATTAACGAAAACCCTAAACCAAAAATATCCACAATATTGCTCATTTTGGAAGCTCCAGTTGCTGTTTTGTTGACAACAAAATTAGTGATGGTATAACTGGAGCGGAAATTCGCTTGAGTACTCGATTATTGAAATAACCGACATCGCTTGGTTATGAACGAGCGATGCAAGTGACGAGTTCCAAGTGGCGAACGCAAGCGATCCTAAAATTATATAAATTGAAATCAGATTTTAATGTGACATATTCGATAAAAAGCCGAGCGAATTTTCTACATATACATTACAGGTAGCAAATTTATTCGACACCGTATATATATTTATCCGTTGCGTATCTGAGGGACAAAATCTTTCAACCTACATCGACAACGCTTTGAAATAAACTAAATCAAGCGATCAAGCGAATCGCTCGCCGCTTGCTACTTGCCATTCGTCACCGAAAGAATATATGTGCCCTACGCACGCAACTTACTGCTTGGCGCTTGGAGTTAACGGGTACTTACAACAAGCGACGGATGAAAAACCATATTTTTAAATACGAGTGATATTTCGCTCGAGTGATCACTCGGTTATTGCAATCGCTTGATACCCGCGAGTACTCGATTATTGAAATTAATCGGTTTTTCCCATCATTAAACAAAATCTCTGTTTCGTCCGTTTGATGGAAATTCGCCTTTAAAGTAAAAAAATACGTCATCTCACCTACCTGTACGGTGATGGCGGATTGGCCGCCAATTCCAGCTTCCTATACGACTCCTCGATAGGACTGAGAATGTCTGTAACGCTGAACGGAGTGCTGTGGTGTAACTGCTGAAGATGGCTGAGCGATCCCTGACCCAGATGCCCTTTG